ACCCACTATTACTTGAGCTATCCAATTAAACCCTCTGCTCTGAGTTTCCTATGTTAATTCATCCAACCTCACCAAGAACATGTGATACATAAGTCAGTCCAAGTTCCAAGATCGTCATGTCCACCTATAGGACTATCGGCATGGTTAACTGATTCATCCTCGAGTGCATTACCTGCTAGAGCAGTCTGGTACCCACTATTCTTGTATTATCTAGTCTTCTTCGATAACTTATGCCTAGGCCAAAACCAAGTACTTGCGAGCTGAAGCCGCTACTGTTACCTACTACTGCCCTTATAGAGTTCACCTAACCCCCGATATACCTACAGACTTTTCCCGGTCATCCCATCAATTCCAAACTACTAATCCAGATGGCCGGAAGGGCTGTGACCTGCCCCTGGTCCCCACGATTGGGTTTTTTTCCTCTGGTTACTCTTCCTGCGACCTGGTTGGTAGAGTGCCTTGCCGAACACTTCAGTTCCATTCAGTTTATCTGGTTCACCAGGTAGTAATCTGCATGTAGTACCGTCAAAGATCTGTGCTACCTCTCTACTCAGGACTTCCCAAGCGAGCACCCCACCGCTGTATTGGCTCTGTGGCTTTCTGCGATTCCGAAGGACTTATCTTGGGTTTGCATCGACTAAACTGGCTTGCATATCTTTGTGTAACCCCTTTATTACACAAATGCTCCAGAATTAATGTTTCAAGCTGGCTAAGTCAGCCACAGCTAAGACAGCTTAGCCACTCTAGCCAGCCAATATAACATGTTCGGCTGGCTAATATGGCTAAGAGTCATATGATTAGAAATATAGAAAGCTTAATTTGATTGGATATACTCTATATTAGGAATTAAAATCATTTAACTGTTTAAAAATTACTTTATAATTCCAGGCAGAAGTATATTAGTCATGGGCCAGAATTATTTTAGTCCCGGCCAAATTATATAGTTAAACGGCTAAACAATTAAGGAAGTTTAGAGCCTTTTTGATTCATTTAGGGTTAGCGGGTTATATAGATATCAATAATGTAATTTATGCAGTATGTAGATTATATATTGTAGTAAGCTTGACAATTAGAGTTTTTTATAACTTCGCTACGAATCTTTAGTTAGTTAAATCTAGTTAGTAAAATCAAACTTTGTTTTATCAACTAAGTTCTTGCTTTGTCCCAATTATAATAGTGTATATATATTATGTAGTTTTTTTTTATTTAACAAACTAGCATTTGGAAATAGTTCAATGATTGAGCCCAATCTTTGAAAAGTTTGAAACGATCTGAATTCGATGTAAGAATTTAATTTTTATAAGTCGTTAATCCCTTTTGTTTAAATTTCTAACAATTTTTTTTTTATTTAAGAGTTATAAAAAAAACAAACAAAAATTAGATACAATCTAAATACAAAATGTTATTTTCTATTTTAATAAAAATATAATTTTACCTTTAACACTACATATATTCAATTTAATAATTGTCTATAATTATGTTTCAAATTTATGAATTTTATACCTTTAAATCTGGATACGCATTAAAAATTTTTGAATTTTCTTTAAGAAACAATAAGTCATGAACTACGTCTTGATCTAACCGATTTCTTTTATCAGTAATTGTATTATCTGTGTCTGAAAAAATTCGTTCTGAAGGAACTAATGAGGCCGGAAAAGCCAAATATTTTCTTGCTTGCTGAGAAAGAAAAGAAAACATTGTTTTATTATTTCGCCACCATATTAAGGAATTAACCTTACAATATTCCTTATCTGTTATATGATATTTAGGAATCTGTGATAAACTATCATATAGAGTTATTTCATTTTCAAATGATGGTACATTTTCACCTGGATCATTATGATCATCGTCATCATAGAAAGAAGGAAAAAAAGAAGGACTGGTAAGCTTATGTTAGTTGGTTTGAATAGAGGTTGTTCTTTCTTGCCTATTAAATAAGTTATAAAGACAAGTTATAGTTTCTTGTTTTTTATTAGGTGTTATATAATTCATTTTTTTGAACCTCGGATCTAAAAAGGAAGCTATTAAACTACTTTGTGATGGCTCGAACCATCTTGATAGCATCGATTCATTGATTTTACTGCAACAAGTTCTTATAGTTGATGATGTAATTTTTAGATAAAAATCCCGTAAATGATGAAAAAGCTTAATAAGAGTAGGTATCATTATTCCTAAAGTTGGATATTGGTTTTCTCTGATATATCCAGTCACTTGTGCAAAAGGAAATAGCAATTCTACTAATTCATTTAAAGATATCCATTCTTCTAATGATAAAAAAAGCTCCAAAAGTTTTATTCCATCCTGCCTTTCTTGTCTATTAACACTTTGTTTTAAGTAAATAGATAGCTGTTCGATAGCATTGTGAAGAAACGAAAGGTTTTTTAGAAGATTGTAGGTGGAATTCCACTGTGTTTTAGTATCACTTGAAAGAGGATTAATTAAATGTTGTGGGTTTAGTTTTGCTTATAAATCATGAAGCTTTTCACAGTATTTATCTCGAATTATAAAACTATTTAATTTTTTTGCTTTATTTATAAGGTCACTAACTTCTGTAAAATTAAAACTGTCACCTAATGCGAGCTGAATTGTATGCGCCATATACCCAATATGTTCTATACCAAGTTGTTCCATTGCTTTAACTATAGAAGAGGCGTTATCCGTCGAAGCTTCAAAAAGCTTATCAGATATTCCCCATTGATTAAAATTTTGTCAGCAAAAATCTTCAATACAATCACCCGTGTGGGGATAATCAAATTTTTGCATGGTAAGAAGGGCTTGACATAAAATAAATTCAGGACAAATCCAATGTATGGTTATAGAAATATAAGGTTGATGAATATGTAACCATAAATCGGTAGTGAAGCAAAAAGAATCCATAGTTTTTTGTATTAAATTTTTAAGTTCTTGTTCAGCAAAAAGCACCGACTATATTAACTTTTCTTTTAATTTATCATTACAAGAAAATTCATATCGTGGTTCACATTCCAAAATCATATCCTGAAAGCAGCTATTAGTAATAAGGTAAAATGGTTGTAAGTCATCTACGATCCAGGCCAAGGCACGATCTGTAATTTTATCTTGTTTTGAGGAAAGCAAGGGTGTTTTTTTATTAATAATATCATGTAAAGTTGGTTGGTTTGATACTATTCTTGCTGCTAATTGATTATTATTATTTGCTTCGGGAGGCAAAATTCGGTGAATTTGATGAAGGTGTGACTTTAGGTTTCCAGTTCCAGTTGTTAATTCATAATGATGGTCACAAGCACTTTTTGTACCATCTTTTTTTACTACTTCAACTCTGCAATAAGCTTTTTTATCAGTCTTGCTTCGTCTAAAATAGTCCCATACCTAGCTTTTTTCCTCTGATCTCGATTTTTTAGTGCTAGTAAAAGCCTTTTTCGAATCCGTTTACCTAAACTATTAGTAATAGTAACACCACTATTACTCAATGCAGATTGATCAGGTAAGATTGAAGTTGACTCATCTAGTAATTTAACGTCTGAACTATGTAGATTTTCTAATATGTTTGTATCTGATTTATCTGACGATCCATCTAATTCAAGTTCGTCTTCATTAGACCAAGTAGTATCATAAGATGCAAATTGGTAAGAATCTTGTGTTTTCATTAGAAGTGCCAATTATTGAAATATTTTAAAGGTCTTAGACACGAAGTAAAGGTTTTGTCTGAAATGAGGAGTGTATAATGATTTATATACTCGATATGTTATTGTAATTTACTGATAAACATATTGGATTAAAATTTTATTATAAACACAGTCTGTTGAATCAATTTTACTTTTATTTAAAGATTTTATTTAATCTAGAACTAAAGAATTTTTATATACATTACAAAGATTACAAAGGTAAGAAGACAGATTTTATAAATTTTACCCAATTTCTGATCTACAATAATTACAATGATTTCTGCAATAATAACAATATTACCATTTTTCTTCCAGTGATACATGTCAAATCGTCTATAGTATCTATTTTATCATGAGGCTTATACAATTCTTTTATTTAAGTTTTACATTTCACCTTCCTTTAATATTTACAATCACTCGCAAAAGTGGTTTACCTTTTTCTTTAATATTGAATGAAAAATCATATCGCAAAATAAAGTGTATAGGTGCTAATTCAAGGGTTTTCCTTTAAAAATAGAATAATTAATTTCACGATAACACCCAGAGGTTTCCCGAAATAACAACACGTATCTCATATTAGCTGATTTAGGGTAAGTTTATAAAATAGATCTTTTATTCATTGTAACTTAAGTTCCCAAATATTTTTCTTTCTTGAAAGAACATAATCCCAATAAAGTTAGCTTAAGTTAGCTATAATACTAGTTGATCTAGTCGGGATTATGTCCTTTCAGAAAATTGTACAGTAATTCTTTGATTTTAAAATAATGTGCATGGGCGTAGCAGAGATAACATGCAAGTGGTGTTGTGAGTATATGATAATGATTTTTCTTCAATTCGCATTACACATCTTTATTGTCAAGTTCGCATAACTGCATTTAATCACCAGATTTGGTTAGCTTAATTTTTATAATGTTAATCACAAAATAGTTCGATTACAGGCTTATATTTACAAATTAATAGCGTTGGCTAATAATCGTATTATCATGTTTTTGAAATACTATATTATCTTATGTTGAGGCAAAGATAAAAATAAACCGAGTATATAGTTATTTCATGATCATTATTAAAGACGTGTAGAAAACAATAGTATGTGAGACCTCTGGTATTGTGTTTAAATTTTATAAAGAATCGTTAAGATTCATAATTCGGGTAACCATATAGCTATTCAGATTCGACTCTAAATTATTATAATCAAAATTTTTATTTTTATAATTTTGAACCTATATTGATATGCTTATTAAATGGCTATTTTGGAGAACACTGGTATATTAATAAGTATAAATTACTATTTATAGTATTTTATATTGTTAGCCGCTTAGCCATAAAATCTATCAGCTGGCTAAGCTAGCTATCAAAAAGTGTGCGGCTTGAAACACTACCCAGAATCTTCCAATTTTTATCTTGGTACAACCACGGTTACAGAGTTTCGAGTTTTCCCAGCCACAACAATAATTGCTAAATCCGTTTTTCTAAATTCAATTTTTCGCCTTCCGTGGGAATTGAACTTATACTCTACCACTTGGGGGTGCAACAAC